TCAAACAGAATGCAGTACACTGTATACAAAGGTAAACCCTCCTCTGCTGTGCTCACTGAAGCTGGTGTCCCCCAAGGTTCTGTACTCTCCCCACTTCTCTTTTCTTTCTTTCTACATGACTTACCATCTTCAACTGACATTAATTTTGTTAAATATGCTGACGACCTGACTGTATCTTTGCCAGTCAAATGTCAAAGTGACTGCTCCAAACTAAATGGTTTTTCATGCAACCGGTTCCCTTTATTAGTTTGAAGAGAGAAAGAAGGAACATGTTTGCAGGATAATACGAGCTCGTTTTATTTCGTGGATTCTCATCAACTGCATACATCCTAAACAAGATCAAATTATAGGTTTCAAGAAAGTTGTGGAACATACTTTACATAATTACTTTGAGTTATAGATAGAAGGCATAAAGAACATAATTCCAGAATTTGATTTAGGTAGACAAATTATTCGGTGTCAAAAACAACTAATTATATATAGTGGAGTTAGATAAGAGGGGTAAGAGTTCAGATTTCTATTGGAAAACACAGAATAGTTAGAGGCATATTACAGGGTCAGGGTCAGAGAACAGAGTGAATTTACACATCTTGTGGTGGAGAGTTTAAGAGGGTGGGGGTGAATAGTGAAGTAACATTTTTAACTTAAACAGACAAACAATTAAGTAGATTTAGAAACTTGAAGGTCAAAATTGAGTAGAATGTTACGTAACAAGACAAACACACAGGCATACTGACAGAAAGGCAAAACAAAAATAAATGGCTTTTTATCAGAAATCAGCCAATGGTCCAAGAAAAACGGTCTAACCTTAAATCCCTCTAAATGTCAAACAGTAAATTTCACCTTAAGGCATAAATCTGACCTAAACTGGTTAGCACTCACGAGGTGTGCAACATAGATGATGGCACTGAAATAGGAACCAAGTCAGAAATTAAATATTTTGGCGTCATTCTATCTGCTAATCTTTACTGGTCGTCTCATATCTTGATGATTTCTAAGAAAATATTCCGTCATACCTTCTACATCAAGAAGTTAAGACATTCTGAAATAACCTAACCCTTACTCCTACGATTCGTTAACTCTTGCATCCTGCCTATTATTCTCCAGTGTTCCCTCTTAGTTTTTCCAGGGCTACTGAAGAAAGACTATACCTTATTACGCAGGATGTTAAAGGTTGTCAGCAGGGTAGGCAATGTGCCACTTAACCAGCTTGTTAATATTCTGGTTGACAGGCACTTGGACTCATGTGAAAAATGGGCTAAATCCATTTTATCTAACTCACACACCACCTTTTTCATTCACAACTCTCCCCTTGTATCTCATCAGGCAGAACCAGAAGCCTATATAGAAAACTATATGCTCACACTAGCAAGTACAAAAACTCAACCATACCCTACTTAGCTCGTGTTCTGTGCGATAAAGAAAGCATTAGGCATGATACCTATAACTTATTAAATAATCAGTAGAACAACTGGATCTCATCTTTCCAACTCATATAATTTATAGGTACAACGTTTTTTTCTTTCTTTCTTTTTTCTGTTATGTGCTTCTCTGTTTCTTTCTTCCTTACAAACTTTATTTAAAACATTCTTCTTCGTTAGTTCACACTCTGTATATCTCGACCTTTTTGTTACCGCTTATGCCAGTAAATACGCTAGCATCCACTTTTCTTACACCTTTCAAACACTCTGTTCAATTTTGGCTTTGCTACCGACATGCCAATATGTTGTTGTCAAAACTAACTGGGATTACCCTTAATCTATGTAGAATTTTATTCATTGTTAGTGTACTAACTGGATGCAATACTGTAGTAAAATGCTGGGAATTCCATTCTGTATCACAAGTAATGTTTTGGAATAAAGCAAATTATTATTATCATTATTATTAATATTGTTATTATTATTATTATTATTAAAAATATACAGGATGAAGTCAACAACAGTAGACAGAAGGAAAGACACAAAAGATATCAGGTTATAAAACAAATCTCATTCGACTAAGAACCAGGTTTTCTTTAGTTGCATTTATAAATTTATAAGGTACACCTGAAAAACAAAAGATACAAATTAAAAAAGAAAAGAATAACTAAATGATTACGACTTCCATCATCAACACACAAATAAAAAAATTTGTTTCCCTGCTAAACTAGCAACTCAACACATACAAGTCACCTAGAATGAATCTCTACCACGATAGTATAGAGTATACAGTTCCTTTAAGATAAAAAGCGCTAAAATGAGTAAATATACTTTTCATTATTGATTAGTACTGATTAAGTAAGGAATTTTTGATTAGACAATAGTCAGTAACTAGTGTATGTGTTTGTCTAGTGTATGTGTGTTTTTCTAGTCCTATCTTTGGTGAAGACTGAATTCTATCAGTCAAATTTGCAATGTCGCCACCATGCTAGGTGGCTCTGCATCACGGTGCAATGTGGACTGTTGCTATTAGATGGTTGGAGGCAATCAGCAGGAAGCCTTCGACCTAGGTTTCGTGCCAGTTGGCATTCACCAGTCAGCAAGGCGTATCTGGAGCCTCGAAGGAACTCATGTCCCCTTCTGAGGTTCGAACCCGCGTCATCCAGTGCTGCAGTCAGAGACATAAGGGTAAGAGTCAGAGTAAGGAATTACTGAAAGCACAAAAGCATTTAATAATTCTTGTTCTAGTCTTCAGTCTATGTGTTAATCCAACGAAAGCACTGTGTGTGCAATGCTTAACAGTGTAGCAAAAAAGACAACATCAACATTCAAACATTGAGTGAGTTTCAGGGTTCTACTACTGCTTTCAAAACTTTTCCATTTACTATCAACACTTTATACAAACTAACTTCTGATGAACACACTGAAATTGTTGACAATTAATACAGCATTTTTATCCATCAGGTTTGTTAAAATTCATTTTATAATAATAAGTTAGTTCATCCTGTGCAAAACTGTTCTTTCAGTAGTAATCTACTTTGATTCATGTGGGTCTCAGTGTTGAAATGTTATCAGAAAAAGCTAAGCGGAATATTATCAAGTTGTCTAATTAGCGGTATTTAATCGAGATCAAAACATCGACTGACAATAAAGGAGTGAAAACCATTTTTAATAACATCTCAACATCATGTTCATTTTTCACTCCTTAGGTGTCCAGCAGAACATAACGCTCCAGTGGTAAATCTCCACTACATTCGACCATTTGAGATCACATTCAGTCAGTTCCATCGCTGCTTACAAGCTTTCATTTTCTCTTCACATGTTGTTCACCTCGGATCCACATCCGAACTCATCGTTTTCTATTCAGGTTCCATTCAACGGCCTGACTTCTATATATAATATAGAATGACCTCTTCAGTGCATATCCAATCCACCCACTTTTTTCTGTATAATTGATGATCACTAGGTCGTTGACTGGATAGCTGCCTGTCATAGTACCTCATTGTTTATTTTTTGTGGACTGCCATCTGAGATACAGTAATCAGCTAGTGAAGGCACCTACTGATGAAATCCTACAGCCTCTTTGAAATCCTCTGTATGACAACTGTGCCAAGTCTGTGAACATTAGCAATCAACTGATGTCTCCTTAAATGTAGACTTAACTTCTTGTTGGTTTTTGATTGTATCCCTACAAGTTTATGCGCCATGAGACATAAGCCATCTTAGAAATTATTACCTTTTAGAATCTTTTAGTCAATCCAGCATATGTTCGTTTTCTCACACCTCATGGTCTACCGGATGATGAGCTAGTTTGCCCACAATCAAGAAGTTCATCAGTGAAAGCAGGCAACCTTGCCTTACTTCAGTTTTCACTTCAAAGTCTCTGGTGAGCTTTCCGTTGCAAATTAATTTACATATGGTATCACCATATAACTACTGAGTTAGGTTTGTAAAACATTATAGCACTGCATAATGTTGAAGCAGATGACGCCTTGTTAAAGTCGATGAAATTGAGGTATACAGTTGACTACCATTCCGGGATCTATGAGATAATGACTTGTTTTTCTTAAACCAGTCGTCTTCCAGCTGAAGTCTTGAATTTTGACATCTTTTAGTCTTTTCAAGATGATTTCTAAGAAACCAAGCAAACTCTAGCCTCGTCCAGATAACAAAGTAACATTAATTTATAAGTGGTCAAAGAGTAAAAAGCTAAATCATCTGCATCAATATAATTTCAGAAGTGAACTTAGTAAAGTACTGGCGTCACACAGTCTACTACTCTTCAGAAGTATACAGTTATGACTCTGTGACGGATCGGAACCAAGACTGGGAGATTTCAGAGCAGACGTCCGGTGTCTTTTCAACAGATTCTCACAAATCTGATAAAAAAGAATCATTGCATTAAATTAAATTATTTTATAATGGAAGTCTACTACTCTACACCAGTGCCAACAGCAACAGACAACAATCAACCAGTATAAATGGGAGAAATCTGAAAGAAGCAACCTCCTTTACCTACCGACCTGAGAAGCTTCGTTTCAACTATAAGCGGACGGAACTGATGAGGATATCAAAGCAAATATCGGGAAAGCAAGGCAAGCTTTCACTACTCTCAAGTCTGTGTGGAGATCAACAGCACTCAGCATCAAAAATAAGATCCAGATTTTCAACTCCAACGTGAAGTCAGTACTACTATACAGATCAGAGACTTGGCGCGTCATGAAGAGCACCACAAACAAACTACAGACCTTCATCAACAGCTGTCTTCGCTCAATACTACTCAAAATCAGATGGCCGATCAGAAAAGATCAGCAACAGAGATCTCTGAGAGCGAACCAACCAGGAACCGATTGTGAAACAAATAGGCAGGAAGAAATGGAGGTGAACTGGCCATACTCTGAGGAAACCATCAAGTTTCATCACTAGACAGGTCATCACTCGAGTAGAACCCGAACGGGAAGCGGCGAGTTGGTCGTCCAAGGTTGAAATGGAGGAGGTGATGTGAAGAGGAGATAAAAGCATGTGGGTAGACGTGGAGCCAGTTGAAAACGTTGGCAGAAAACCAAACGCGATGGAGACCTGCGGCTGAAGCCGTATTTTCCTCTAGGAATTAAACGAAACAACAATAATAATATAATATCAATGAAATAGTACTAACCTTTTGGAATATACACAATGCATGGTTTCAATAAGGGAACTGCAAACCTCGAAATTTGTACAGCATAAGGACTTAAGGGACCCTTTGAAGTTGATGGAACAGGAGGAGGAGATGTAGTCAATGTAAATATGTTTATTGCATCTCTATCATAATGAAGTTGACGTCTCTCTTGTTCTCTGCTAACAATTCTAGTTAAATTGACATCAACTTCAAAACATGGTACATTCGATTGACTTCGACTAGGGAAAACACCAAATAAGGCAGGAATATCATAATTCGAAAATTCCATTGTAGAAAATTTGAAATGAGGAAATTGTGCATTCACTGGATATATTACCTCTGAAAAGGATACATTAAAGAAAAAAACACAAAAGAAAACCAGTTAACAGACAAAAGGCTACAACAAGCGGTAAATATGAAGTGCAATTTTATATGCTATACAGACAACATGTAGTTTCAATATAAATTTCGTAACGAACCAATCAATGTCAGTCAGACATTATAGAAGACCAAGAAGCACTGAACAGCTATTTCGTTCTAGTCTGGAACTCTTCAGCAGTGAACAATTATAACCTCAACATCAGGGATGGGACCCAGGACCTTCAAGTTACGAAACTAAGTACGTTGAACTATTCAGCCACTTGGCCTGGAATTCAATCATCCTTGAATTCTAACTGATGTGATATGTTTGTGACAAAATCCACATTGAAATTACTGTGAATCCCTAAAAAACCACATCCGTAATCTAAATAACGTGTACTCTTTAAAAAAACCCAGAAAAATGTGTGAGTTACATTGTGATTTTGTGGTGAGAGCTGGCTACTAGCCAGCATTACGTCAATGTTTATGTCCTCAATATTGGTCGTGAGAAAAATATGAACAAAGACTAATTCAACAACCAACCACAGCAGACTTTGCGTAGGCGGATACAGTTAGCATACAGATGATCTGACATTCAAGAAACAGCCACAAAGAGATGAAAGATAAACTTTCAGTGGGAAACAACCAATCAGAAGACTGTGTTTTCCTACTAACAATAATCTATAATAATGTACATGAAAATTTATAAATATGTGTTGATTTCCTTAATAAACGATCTGTTGCCTGACCCTTGTCTTCTGTTGTTACAATTTGAAGTAAAGAAGTAAAAGTCATAAAATGTCAAAATACCATTTCATTTATCACTGTGATCATTCAATGTTATATTGTAACAACAGAAGACAAGGGCCAGGCAACAGATCGTTTATTAAGGAAAATCAACACATATGTATAGATTTTAATGTACATTATTGTAGATTCTTGTTAGTAGAAAATACAGTCTTTTGATTGGTTGTTTCTCACTGAAAGTTAACCTTGCATCTTTTTGTGGCTGTGTCAGATCATTCATATGCTAACTGTATCCGCCTACGCAAAGCCTTTGTTCTCATTTTCTCACCAGCAATATTGGGAATATTATAAACATTGACGTCAATTACTGTCTACCAACTTTGGCTAGCAGCCAGCTCTCACCACAATATGAGTAAAAACAAAAACCAGGGTGTGCATGTAACTTTATACTGAGAGATAATAACGAATTATGCGACAATTAAAGTATAATACTTACGCTGTAGTGTATTATTGACGCCAATTGGTAATTGTGATTCAATTGGATTTGTCCATGCCACATCTTGATCAAGTCGAATTTTTATGGATTCTGTGGCTATCGGAGATTTCTTTACACCTTTAATGTTGAAATGATTGAGAACAAGGAGACAATTAATCAATACAAGAAGTTGTAAATGTGAGTAATTAGTGAAAATTCTACTGGTGAAGCAATAAATATCTTCTTTTTTTTTAAAAAAGTGAAGAAGGGGGATACTTACGGATATATGGAATTATCCTCACCAGGATAACCCTAAGCAGTAAATCAAGTATTAAGTCTTTAGATAAATGACAACAAGTGTGGAAACGCAAACCAAGAATATCCAAATAAAGATATGGGATTATTAAATATCTGAAATCTCTGATTGACTGTGTCAAAGTGTTATATGCCTCACTCACTAATAATACATCAGGAATGAAGAGATGAAGTGAACACTCTCAGTAGCACAACTCAAAATCAATAACAATGGGATCAATATATAGTCATGCTCAAATATCCTTTGAAATGATTTTTAGTATCAACATTCTTTATTCAGTGATTCTCCTTCCTCTCAATTATTATTTTGTTAATACATAAGGCTTCAAAAATACATTTCCATTTTGTTCTGTTTTCTGGAGTCCTCTTCATTTGTCTCCATGATTGCGCCTATAAGCTTTCATCTCTTCCATGTCACCCTCAGACTTCTCACTCGTCGATCTCAATCTGGTTCCACTCAAGAGTCGTCTAACGTGCGATGCCACCAAATGGTTTCCTCAGAGTGTGTCCGATCCACCTACGTTATCTTCAGCACATTTGTAAGGAGATTGGATCCTGGTTAGTTCGCTGCCAGAATTTCTTATTTTTTTTTCTTTCTGGCGATCTGGTCTTCAGTATGAAATCAGTTGTTGATAAAAGTCTGCAACCTGTTGAAAATTATTTTTATGAAGGGCGCGACAAGTTTCTAACCCATATAGAATAACTGACTTAACTCTGGGGTCGAAAATCCTTATTCTGAGTACAAAAGATCTCCGAATTGATTTCTGATTGATGAAGGTGTATCTTGTCTTTCCGACTACTGTTTTGAAATCCTCATCCGTACTGTCACCCGCAGCTGAAATGAGGCAACCCAGATAAATGAAGGAAGTGAACTCTTTCAAATTTTTTCCCTTGATATTGATCGGTGCTTGTTGTTCAATTTATCTTAATCACCTCCATCTTTTCTATTAGCTGCCTACCTAACTCTTCTGCCAACTTGTTGAATTTTCGCCTGTAAGTCTTCCAACACACACACACACACACAACTCTACACACTTACTCATCCTATTAAAATCATTCTAATTATCTTTAGTTTATTTGTGATCTGTTGTGATGATGGTATATGAAAAAACACAATTATCCACTATTTCTCATCTCATCCTCGCTACACGTTCTCCTTCATGATACCCTCACACTGACAACCCACTAGAGCGGTGGCCTGCATTAAGTGCCATGTCATTTGACGGCCTACTCAACGAATGCCCAATCAATCTCCACTTTCTCCTGCATATATGCCGGGCGATCGGCTCTTGGTTGGTTTGTTATCAGTCAGAGTTTCTTGTTGCTAATTCTTTCTGGCCAGATAGCCATTTGATCATTAGTATGGAGCCAGCGAAGGCAGCTATTGATAAAAGTCTGCAACTTATTTGAAATCCTCTTTGTGAAACGTAGTGCACGTTTCTGATCCGTATAGAAGAACTGACTGACTTCACATTTGTGTTGAAAATCCGAATCTTGTTTATATGCTGCGGAGTGCAGAAAATTTTCAAACTGGTTCCGCCTGTGGTTGAAACCATGCTTCCCGACGACATAAGCCTTGACATCTTCATCCGTTCCGCCTGTAGTTGAAACGATGCAGTCTAGATAAGCAAAGGAAGTAACCGCTCTCAAATCTCTCCCATTGATGGTCATTGGTGCTTGTTGTAGATCGTCATTACCTCCGTGTTCTCTATGTCCACCTGGAGTCCTGTCTTCGCTGCCTGCTTCTTCAGCCAGTTTGTTGCTTTTCGCCTGCACGTCTTCAAGTTTGTGTCACACTAGACATATATCATCTACGAAATCCATACCTTTCAGAGTCTTCTTATCAGTGATTCAGCGTATTTCTGTCTCCTCGCTCCCCACAGTCTGACGGCACAATCCAGTCCACCACAATCAGGAATATTATCAGTGATAGCAGACAGGCTTGTCTCACTCGAACGCTTCGCTGAGTCTTCCGTTGTGGATCACCTGACACGTGGTATTGTCATATAGCTAATGAATGAGGTTGGTAAAGACTTGGGCACTGCGCACCATAGTGTTGAATCAGTTTGCATATAATACATAGCATAATAAAGTGTCAAAAATTACAAACAGCTGTTATGTCCTAGTTTGGCATTCCTCATCAGTGTGCACCCACTGGAGTTCTAGTGAGAAGTCTGGTAGGATAACAGTTAGTCGCTACATTGACTTTAGTTGGGATTCATGGGTCATTGGATTAGGTCCAAGCGGATGAACTCATCTTGTAACCGGAAGGTCCTGGATTCGAACACAAGTGGGTGCATACTGCTAAGGAGTCTCAAACTAGGATGAAGCAAGTACTGGCCAGTACTCCCAGGTTTTCCAATAGTTCTCTAAGTGATGTCAACTAGAGTGGTCAATCCTATCACACATTTCTCATTGTTTCAATACGTTGGACAGAAATATTCAGTTCCGGTTGACAAGCACCGTTTTTGACTTTGTCTGAAGTGTAACATTATGGCATTTTGGTTGGTTGATGGTGACTAGCAGGGGAATCCAAGATTTACATTTCGTTTTATCCATTGAGTTTAACAGATACTGCTTTTTTGTTTGAAACGATGAGTACAGGGTTCGAGTACCAATGGAGACACCATTACAATTACTACTAGGGATGCAAGCAAATCTAGCTAACGACTTGCAAGTAGGATGCGATGCGTAACCGAAATCATAAAAGCCAATGTATTAAATAAATGAATAAATGAATAAACAAATAATGTTATCCCATTTAGAGTGGAGATTAAAAGCCTTACCTTTCATGAATCTATAGCGTTGAGCTAGTTTTGCTATACGTCGTGCACGAGAAATTTTCCTATTTCTTAATAATTGACTATTATCACGACAATGTTTTAAACGATTAAGAAATCTTTGACGTCGGTTCACTTCATCTGAATCAGGTAATATAGCTAAACCAACAGGTTTTTGATACATTAAACCATATTCATCTTGATCTGGTTCATAGACAACAAGTTTATTTCTGTCATGTGAAGCTGGAACACGTAGTCTTTTACTTCGACGTAAACTACCACCACTTTCTATATAACTTTTTGATAGAGGTCTTTTCCTCTCTGAAAAGAAAAGAATTGGAAGCATGTTACAAGTAAACTTAACAAGAACATTAAGTACATATTTATAAGCGAAAAGGAACGAACCAACTATTCACCGGTTTACCACTAATTATTCATAAGGAAATGGAAATGGATGGGATATACACTGGGAAGACATTCACGTGGGATTACAGCCCAGGTCATCGAGTGGAACTTGAAAGGGAAGCGAGAAGTTCAGCTTCCGACGGTGACATGGAAGAGATCATGTGATGAAGAAGAAGAAGAGGAAAAAAAACTGAAGGCTTGTGGGCAGTTGTCAAGACATTTGAAAATGATGGCAGGTAATTGGGTAACAGGGAGATGCACTATTGAACTGAATTATTCACTTTCTTAGTATATATAGGGCTCCTTGATTAAACCATTCGAAATGATTTTTAAAAATTTCATCTTCTTACATTACATTACATGATCCATCTCTTAGGGGATAAACAGTGGAATTAAAAGTGGGTTAGGAATAGTAAGCCCAAATTTCTTCCTATTTAAGGAATTCACAAGCTAAATATATTTGAGCCTCGATGAATGATGCTATTACCGCTAAGACTGTGATTCAGAAAATTCAGGTGGTGCTCGAGAGGCACAAACACGAGAGAACCAGGCAGGCTTCAGACCAGGAAGAGGCTGTATTGATCATATCCTCACCCTTCGACAGATTCTGGAACATAGGCATACTTACCGGCATCTAACAATCGTCATATTTCTTGACCCAAAAGCGGCATTCGATTCCGTCGACCGAGAGGTACTCTGGCGATGCTTGGCTGTGAAGGCAATGTTGAGAAAGTACATTGCACTGATCAAGGCACTCTACTTGAACTCATACAACCAGGTGAGAGCTTACGGCGTATTGTCATCTGAATTGGTGACAACTAGTTGTGTCCGTCAGGGATGCCCTCTGTCCCAATTTTTATTCAATTTCATCATAGATGTACTGCTCAGCAGTTCGCTCCGTCCTTCTCTATGTCTCTGAAACATGGCCAATACGAGTTGAAGACATGGAAAGGTTGACTGTTTTTGATCATAAATGTCTACGATCTCTTTCTCACGTTAGGTGGCATGCCTAACCATCGCCCCCTCCCCCGACAAGCGTTACTAGCTGATATAGGTGCAGGTTGGAAAAGAGTAAGTGGTGGCCAAACAAAAACATGGCCTCATCAATCCATGAAATCCCTGACAGTTAAACTGAGTCAGGTAGGGAGATGCAGACTTTCGGGTTGGGGCCCACCCTCGGGACTCTAAGAATCAATGGCTGGAGACAATAGGTGACATGGCTCAAAATCGTTGTCAATGGCTTACGCAGATGTATTCAGTCTCTGTAAACTTTCATATTCCTTTCTACCATTACTCATTCTGTTTCACTCTTGTACTTGTCAAAACTCTGTTGATTCTCTTCACTCATTTTCTTGTCTACCTTTGTGTGCTATTTGGAACGTGGCAACTCGAACTGCTGCACTTCGGTGCCAAGTTCTATATGGAATCCAGACAGACAGAATGGACTTAACCCTAACTCACTTTAGAGACTCAGGGATTGACTTGTTACCATAAGGTAATCTCATCGACTTAGAATATGCAGATGATATAGTCTTCCTAGGTGAAGACGCTGACAAAATGCAGAGTCTTCTGAACACCTTGAGTTGCAATCTGCGAATGTTTGGCATGCGATTCGCTCCCACCAAATGTAAGATGATGCTACAGGACTGGACAGCATTGACTTCTAGCTTAGATATAGGTAGTGCAGTGGTAGAGCGTGTTGACCACTTCACTTAGTTAGGAAGTTGCATCAGCCCCAACGTGTTGATCGCTGACGAAATCTGTGCACAGATACAGAAGTCTCGTTTCGCTTATGCCAACTTACGCCATCTGTGGAGAAGACGTGATAACCGGCCGGTTATCGATAAAATGACCTGTGTACTGCACTCGCTCCATCCTCCTGTATGGCTGTGAGACCTGGCCACTGAAAGTGGAAGACATGAAAAGCCTGGCTAGCTGCCTTTGATCATAGGTGCCTGCGTTCTATCTCCCGTCTTAAGTATTATAATAAGGTTAGGCAACCATCAAGTGCTAAGTAAGGAGGGGAAGTCAATCGACGTAGTTGTGAAGTTACACCGATTGAGATGGTTAGGACATGTGTTACGTAAGTATGCCTAGCCATCGCTTTCCTCGACTGACGGGCAATGTTAGCTGACATAGGATGGATCAGATTGGAAAAGAGCTAGCTAGTGGTGGTCAAATCAAAACATGGCGGCAGTCAATGAATTCCACAACAGTTAGTTTAAGCCAGTCACTTAGGGAGGTGTAGACTTCCTGGCTGTTTGGGGTCCAACTTAATCTAAGACTAGAAGAATAAACAAACAAGAATAAAGCTAAAAACACTTTTGTTTTGATTTGTTTATTTGTTTCAATTCAATTAATCTAGACCGGTATTTCATGTGACGGGTGAACAGCCACACTTACTGTGTCCAGATTGATGTCACTGCGCAGGGGAGACTCGAACGTATGATTTACTGGCTGAAAACCGAGCTTTATATACACACTACACAAGATGTCTGGAAGGTTCTGATACTTATGCTGTCCTCTACACTATTATTTCGTTAATATTTTTAAACATCCTGAAATACAATAAACTAAGGCGAATAAATCAAGTATTACCTACAGAATAAACTGTAACAATTGTGATCATCAACAAGCAGCCAAATACTTAAGTAAAACAATAATGAATAAGTGTATAGACATAAACAATAACAAGAGAAAAAAAAGTAACTCACTAAATGGTAAAAATTCACAGTCATATGGAGTACGCCATGGAAGGTTAACTTGCTGCATCATAGATGATTCAGACAACACAGAGGATGAATATGAAGGAGGAAGAGAAGACTCTTGAAAACCAGAGCAACTTTGCAATTCTTCATTTTCTTTGTTTTCTTCCGATGACTAAATTGTAATGAAAATAAACATTAAAAAAGGAATTGCGAGGAAAATTATGATAAATTCAGTTTAGATTTATGACATTTTTTTCTCTACAGAGTTCATTTGAATAAATTAATTAATCAATATCTTGCATGCCTCAGTGATAAGGATACTGCTGTTCTGGTTCGATAACGTCACTTAATTGATATTCGTTGATATGGACGTGTAATACTAATGTTAACAAAAGTCCTACAACAAGGGTTCGACACAATATGGCAATAAGTAACTCGACTCGTCTGCAGACTGAACACCAATACTGACTTGTCAATCACCTGTAACGTCCAGAGTCCGTGCAAATACAGATATATGACGGATTCGGATAGCAGTCCCGGATGGGTGAACGTTGAATACTTTGACAAACAATACATCTATTCTATTCAACCCTTACGTTTGATTCTGAACGTAATATCTCACTATAGTTAATTTACAAAATGGCTGAAAAGTATTAAAAGACTGAGAATCGGTTGATATCACTGCATTCTTCTCAAATATACACAGGCTATTAATGGAAATTTAAGAGAACTTATAAAGGGTAACACACATTTAGGAATTTAAAATAACCACAATCGTTAAGTAGAAAGTAGGAAGTTTCACCCTATCATCAACCTTATATATACCACCAGGTACAACTGAATGTGAGTAGACCTCGATCCCCCTGTTAAGATGTTCTCATGTGGCCAGTCCTTCATAACCCCCCCTCCCAGGTAAGTCCTATTCACTGACTTCATGAGGCTGCAGCTAACAATGCAAGTCAATCAGTGAGAGGTAGGAAACCTTGATCCTGAACTAACGACGATACATCGTCTCCACAATCAGAAAAGATTAAATGACAATTGAACCTGGTTTAGTCATCGACGACCATGACCATGTGGGAACGCAGCTCCACTGTCTTATGGATCAAACTTCAACGTCCGGGGACTGGTACCTTAAGGAAAACGACTATCTTCAGTCTGGGTGTCCAGGCACTGTGTCCCAGTCCTAGCACAAACTATGAAATTCTGTGTGGTGCATCTCTTGGTGCCGACTATGTAACAAGTCTGTGTAATAATAATGATAACAACTGCCGACTACATCGGTAATAGTCTATCAACCTAAGGCTACCTCATAGAAAGTTCACGACATCAATTGACAACCTTTTCTTTCCCTTCTAATTCAATTCAATATGATTAGGATTGATAGAAGATTTCGCTGGGTAGCCAACCTGATGATAAATGGTCAAGTAGAGTAACAAATTGATAATGTGTAAGTAGTTGGACTGAAGATCAGATGGCCGGAAAGAATTGACAACAAGAAACTATGACAACCAACGAACCAAACAAAAATCTACTGTTTCAAAAATATATAGAAGAAAATGGAGATGGATCAGATACACACTGAGGAGACCGTCAGACGATATCGCACGCAATGCCTTCGAATGGGAAGTGACGGGTTGGGCGTGTGTCCGAAGGTGAAATGGAGGAGAAAATCAAATGAGGAGGGAATGAAAGCTTATGGGCAATCATGAGGTCAACTGAAGAGGACTGTAGAGAACAGTGTAAAAAGCAGATGTGCTGTTGGAAGCCTTATGTTTCACTTAGAACCAAAGGGAATAAAATAAGTAATAAATAGTTGGACCCCTTAACTCAGTTGGTAGACAGTACCAGAGTACATATTCAGCGGTCACTAGCTTTGACTGACTTTACCAATAATTGGTAAGCAATCAACATGCAGAAATGACGTCAATCATTCCAAGACCAAAATGCTATTCACCTCAAACTTTCTTTTCTTTTCATCTGTTAACCAGCTGGAGTTTAGACTGTCAACAATTTTTTAATAATTAAGGTTTATAAAAAAAAACAACAGGACTTACTGAAAATTGACTTTGATATGTTGATGATTTGTCAGTTGTCTCGTTGACTGAATAATTATTATTACTATTATTACCAATGTCAGGAGCAGAAATTGGACCCAAAGAGATTCTTGGCTTACAGCCTTCAAGATTATCCACATAAACTGAAAAGTTTTATAATAAAGGTAAGAAAAATACAATACGGTAGAACTACACAATGATGATTCAACATTAGTTCATAATGATAATTTATCACCTACTCAAAGTCAGTATTTTGATCTGACGCCAGGTGGTAACTAGTGTCATGCGTCTTGTCCTGAGTTTTGGTGCAGACTGAATTCTATCAGTCAGGTTTACGAGGACAAAACAGTTTTATTTTTCATAGTCACATCAAGTTTCTGTAGCGACTAGATTGACTTTCCGGGATAGGATTTCCAGCCTCACACGCTTAGGCCTCCCTCTCTTACTTTTTTTGGGGGGGGCGGTGGGGGAGGAGGCTTAGTACAGGCTAGTAAACTGGGTGAATTATGAGGAGCATCACGAAAAGCATTTCCAACAGGCTGTTGGAGATTCTCATCAACACCTGCCTTCGCGGAATCAGTACTAAAGATTAGATAACTGATCACGAAAAAATAAGCGATAAGGAACTCTGGAAGGCAACGAACCAACCAGAAATCTATTCTCCAAGAAATAATTCGAAAAGAATTGGAGGTAGTTTCGACATAAATCGAGACATTACAAGCTAGTCAAGCACTCGAGAAGAACACGAATGGGAAATGACAAATTGACAGTTTGAGGGTAACATAAAGACGATTGTGTCAGGTGGAAATTAAAGCTTATCATCAGTAGTGAAACCAGCCGAAAAAAAGACTGTAGAGAATGGCAATATGTACTTGAATTCGAATGTTCCATTAGACGCACAAGAGACGAATAATAACAAGTTGTAATTTATTGATTGGATATAACATACAGTGAAACTGTATTATTTACTGGATGACATTTAGGAAAATCAATTTATTGTTCATATCACTTGTAACCAGGTAACTTCAAAAGTCTATTTTTATAGATCTTTTGCTTCATAGAGGTAGTAGATTTCTCCCAGATGCCCCGGATAGGTGACGAATCATTTATTTAAATTCTCAGTTTATTAGATGGTTGAAGAATATCGACAGGAAACCTTGGACCTAGGTTTCGTGCTAGTTGGCACTCGTCAGCAAGGCGTATCTGCAACCTTGAAGGAACTCATGTCCCTTCTGAGATTCGAACCCGCGTCACCCAGTGCAGTGCTGCAGTCAGAGACGTTACCACTGAGCTATTCGGGCTCGCGATTGACCTCCTGTAGGACTGAATTGTATACTTTGGTTGGACACTAGTAACTAGTATGACGTGTCTAGTCCTTTCTTTGGTGCAGACTGAATTCTGTCAGTCAGGTTTGCCACGTGACAATCTTTCTAGGTAGCTCGCGATCACCGTGCACATTGATTTGATGATATTCGATGGTTGGAGGGTATCGACAGAAAATCTTGGACCTAGGTTTCGTGCCAGTTGCAAACACTGCAAACCTGATTGATAGAAGTCAGTCTGCACCAATGAAAGCACTAGACAAATCACACTAGTTACTAGTGTCCAATAAAATTCTCAGTTTATTCGATAAATAAAGCTTCAGTTATCGATCTCTTTTTCCACCTTGTTACATTACATTTTAGGATTATCACCTTGTCTGATACTATTGTATGATTGCGTATAACTGCACTTAATGCTATTATATACACGAGGTTTTTATCTAAGGTTTCTCATCTTATTAGGATCTATTAGTTAAGATTTCGCTTAGTTTTATGCACTTCTGATCCAATCGGCCGTCGCCTACCAAAGGTACTTCACATTCACTGCACGTTATCAGATAAAAAAAATGAAAATCTAGTTTTAAAATGGTGTAATTGCAGTCGATATGACTATGAACAATAAAATGTCTTCAAAACATTATCCAGTAAATATAATATTGTTCGACTGTTTGAATGATATATATATATATCGTTCGACAGACAAATGAATTTCAAATTTTCAAGTATTGGTTGTATGAGAAATTTTGTTTGATTGATTGGAGGATTTCATCATGAGCTGACATCAGTTAGAGAACCACTGAAAAACCTGGGAGTACTGGACAGCCGTTTCGTTCCAGTTTGGGACTCTTCGGCAGCACGCAGGCACGCACCATAAGGTCCTTGGTTCGAACCCCGGCGGGTGCGTACTGATGAAGAGCCCAAAACTAGGACGAAACAGCTGTCCAGTACTCCCAGATTTTCCAATGGTTTTCTAACTGAATTTCAAATTGCATATTACCATAGTGTCCAAGTTATACACAAACAGGCACACATATAATCCCTTCCTATTACAATTAAGATCGGTAATTCATGAGTTCGCCAAAATCTCTCTGGTGCATTGATATACTCTACTTCAAGTCAGTAATCAGAATAAATTAAAAAAAGATTTCGCAATTTTGAACTCGATTAAATTACTTGACAGGAAAACTTACCGACGAAAGAAGCGAATTTTACACTTGGACGACCTTTACGTGATGGAGAAATATTTGTCAGCCGATTCGGAGACGTCTACACGACAGAGATAGATAGATGGATAGATAGATAGACAGACCGATAGACAGGTATACAGGTAAATGACATGGAGAGTAAAAATAAAAATTAAATTAACCCTGGTATAAAGAAAAAGAGTGAAAAATATTATTACATAAAGAAAACAGGAAACACAATGAATTTACCGGTAAGTTATTATCATGATCAGCAGGTAAGTCCTCTGTAACAATAACAAAAACAAACAGAAAAGCAAAAAATTCAATGTTGAAATCAAGTAAACGCGATAAGAACCACAAAAATTCAAATTGAAATATACATCATCAACAAACAGATTCACTATAACCATTGAGTTTGTACAATAAGCAAACCTGATTCAAAAGCATCATCACAGTATCTGTCAATAACACCATCATTGAATGAAAGTGAATATAAAACCCTATAGAATACAGGGAGAAATGCAGCAGATAACGTGGTTGCCACAAAAGGCCATATATATAATAATTCAGAAATATAACCACTTATAGGGATAATGAAAATAGCTAGCAACCACAGTGACAGAAGGAGTGAAACAAAGCATCAGAAGATTGCCAAATAATAAACAAACAGGACACAAATTGACAAACGAATACACACGATAAAACTAACAATCAACAAAAAATGTCAGACTCAGAGCATGGAGACGATAACCTCAAACGTACAATCAAACCATAAATCAAAACAAACAAATATTAAAACAGAACACGAAAAGCGAATCCCGCAAACAACGCAACAAAACACAAAGAAAAAAACAACCAACAAGTAAAACCACAAAAACAGGGCAATTCAGTAACATTCGCACAAAAAGAAACAAACAACTACACACTGACCACAAATCAACAACCACTCACCATCCATCAACCAACACGCAAACATATAAACACACAACACAGTCACAACCTCAAAGCTAAACTAATCAAATACCAATCGCTTCACCATATAACACATTCAGAATACCTTCCTTCAGAAAAACACAAACCAAAGCAACACATTACACCGCCAGCGAACACAAACAAACAAACAAACAGACACACACACACACACTTCCACATCAACAAACAAGGAACAACACAAACACCAAGCCAGCCAACCACACAATCCGACAATCACACTCACTCCTCAACGTACAAATTTCCACTAAACTACACACACTTCAAATTCTAACAATTCATACACCACACATCAATGTACACGAGATAACACGCAAAACAACTACAATCAACCAAAATCCATACAACAAGAAACACGGAAATCCAACATCATCAACATTCAGCCAATCTACAACTTCATCAACAGTCAATCCATCTGTGCCTTCACAAGAAACCCACAACACATCAATTCTCCATTCTATGCAACCAAGCCACAAATACTTTCACATCCCAAAATCACCAATTAACATACACACAAAAAAAGAAACCAACACAACAACTCACCCGCTATTCCAACTCCCGCTTCCACCTCATCGTCGACATCCAAGGGATGTGGGATCGGGGATAATGTCACCTTCCTCGACCTTGAAGGCCGTCGCGACTCGCCGTCAGCAGCTACACACTCATTCGCCTCTTCAACTGCACACTCTGCACAAAGCAAAAACAAACGACACACTCACCATTAAAACATCAACACAACACAATAAACCGACTCACAAATCACAAACAACTACACACTGATCACAAATCAACAACCACTCACCATCCATCAACCAACACGCAAACATATAAACACACAACACAGTCACAACCTCAAAGCTAAACTAATCAAATACCAATCGCTTCACCATATAACACATTCAGAATACCTTCCTTCAGAAAAACACAAACCAAAGCAACACATTACACCGCCAGCGAACACAAACAAACAAACAAACAGACACACACACACACACACTTCCACATCAACAAACAAGGAACAACACAAACACCAAGCCAGCCAACCACACAATCCGACAATCACACTCACTCCTCAACGTACAAATTTCCACTAAACTACACACACTTCAAATTCTAACAATTCATACACCACACATCAATGTACACGAGATAACACGCAAAACAACTACAATCAACCAAAATCCATACAACAAGAAACACGGAAATCCAACATCATCAACATTCAGCCAATCTACAACTTCATCAACAGTCAATCCATCTGTGCCTTCACAAGAAACCCACAACACATCAATTCTCCATTCTATGCAACCAAGCCACAAATACTTTCACATCCCAAAATCACCAATTAACATACACACAAAAAAAGAAACCAACACAACAACTCACCCGCTATTCCAACTCCCGCTTCCACCTCATCGTCGACATCCAAGGGATGTGGGATCGGGGATAATGTCACCTTCCTCGACCTTGAAGGCCGTCGCGACTCGCCGTCAGCAGCTACACACTCATTCGCCTCTTCAACTGCACACTCTGCACAAAGCAAAAACAAACGACACACTCACCATTAAAACATCAACACAACACAATAAACCGACTCACAAATCACAAACAACTACACACTGACCACAAATCAACAACCACTCACCATCCATCAACCAACACGCAAACATATAAACACACAACACAGTCACAACCTCAAAGCTAAACTAATCAAATACCAATCGCTTCACCATATAACACATTCAGAATACCTTCCTTCAGAAAAACACAAACCAAAGCAACACATTACACCGCCAGCGAACACAAACAAACAAACAAACAGACACACACACACACACACTTCCACATCAACAAACAAGGAACAACACAAACACCAAGCCAGCCAACCACACAATCCGACAATCACACTCACTCCTCAACGTACAAATTTCCACTAAACTACACACACTTCAAATTCTAACAATTCATACACCACACATCAATGTACACGAGATAACACGCAAAACAACTACAATCAACCAAAATCCATACAACAAGAAACACGGAAATCCAACATCATCAACATTCAGCCAATCTACAACTTCATCAACAGTCAATCCATCTGTGCCTTCACAAGAAACCCACAACACATCAATTCTCCATTCTATGCAACCAAGCCACAAATACTTTCACATCCCAAAATCACCAATTAACATACACACAAAAAAAGAAACCAACACAACAACTCACCCGCTATTCCAACTCCCGCTTCCACCTCATCGTCGACATCCAAGGGATGTGGGATCGGGGATAATGTCACCTTCCTCGACCTTGAAGGCCGTCGCGACTCGCCGTCAGCAGCTACACACTCATTCGCCTCTTCAACTGCACACTCTGCACAAAGCAAAAACAAACGACACACTCACCATTAAAACATCAACACAACACAATACACCGACTCACAAATCACAAACAACTACACACTGACCACAAATCAACAACCACTCACCATCCATCAACCAACACGCAAACATATAAACACACAACACAGTCACAACCTCAAAGCTAAACTAATCAAATACCAATCGCTTCACCATATAACACATTCAGAATACCTTCCTTCAGAAAAACACAAACCAAAGCAACACATTACACCGCCAGCGAACACAAACAAACAAACAAACAGACACACACACACACACACTTCCACATCAACAAACAAGGAACAACACAAACACCAAGCCAGCCAACCACACAATCCGACAATCACACTCACTCCTCAACGTACAAATTTCCACTAAACTACACACACTTCAAATTCTAACAATTCATACACCACACATCAATGTACACGAGATAACACGCAAAACAACTACAATCAACCAAAATCCATACAACAAGAAACACGGAAATCCAACATCATCAACATTCAGCCAATCTACAACTTCATCAACAGTCAATCCATCTGTGCCTTCACAAGAAACCCACAACACATCAATTCTCCATTCTATGCAACCAAGCCACAAATACTTTCACATCCCAAAATCACCAATTAACATACACACAAAAAAAGAAACCAACACAACAACTCACCCGCTATTCCAACTCCCGCTTCCACCTCATCGTCGACATCCAAGGGATGTGGGATCGGGGATAATGTCACCTTCCTCGACCTTGAAGGCCGTCGCGACTCGCCGTCAGCAGCTACACACTCATTCGCCTCTTCAACTGCACACTCTGCACAAAGCAAAAACAAACGACACACTCACCATTAAAACATCAACACAACACAATACACCGACTCACAAATCACAAACAACTACACACTGACCACAAATCAACAACCACTCACCATCCATCAACCAACACGCAAACATATAAACACACAACACAGTCACAACCTCAAAGCTAAACTAATCAAATACCAATCGCTTCACCATATAACACATTCAGAATACCTTCCTTCAGAAAAACACAAACCAAAGCAACACATTACACCGCCAGCGAACACAAACAAACAAACAAACAGACACACACACACACACACTTCCACATCAACAAACAAGGAACAACACAAACACCAAGCCAGCCAACCACACAATCCGACAATCACACTCACTCCTCAACGTACAAATTTCCACTAAACTACACACACTTCAAATTCTAACAATTCATACACCACACATCAATGTACACGAGATAACACGCAAAACAACTACAATCAACCAAAATCCATACAACAAGAAACACGGAAATCCAACATCATCAACATTCAGCCAATCTACAACTTCATCAACAGTCAATCCATCTGTGCCTTCACAAGAAACCCACAACACATCAATTCTCCATTCTATGCAACCAAGCCACAAATACTTTCACATCCCAAAATCACCAATTAACATACACACAAAAAAAGAAACCAACACAACAACTCACCCGCTATTCCAACTCCCGCTTCCACCTCATCGTCGACATCCAAGGGATGTGGGATCGGGGATAATGTCACCTTCCTCGACCTTGAAGGCCGTCGCGACTCGCCGTCAGCAGCTACACACTCATTCGCCTCTTCAACTGCACACTCTGCACAAAGCAAAAACAAACGACACACTCACCATTAAAACATCAACACAACACAATAAACCGACTCACAAATCACAAACAACTACACACTGACCACAAATCAACAACCACTCACCATCCATCAACCAACACGCAAACATATAAACACACAACACAGTCACAACCTCAAAGCTAAACTAATCAAATACCAATCGCTTCACCATATAACACATTCAGAATACCTTCCTTCAGAAAA